GGGGTGCTCAAGTGAGGAATTGGGCTTCCAGTTGAAACCCCATTTGCCGGTGACATCAAGGTTGGGGTTTTCACGGAAGGGGAAAGGTGATCGTGTTGCACCTTGGGGGGAGGAAATCTGGGAGGCCCATTTAATACTTGAGCCGAAGAAATTATAGGACTTCTATCAGGTGTAGCGATTGATGTTTCAGGGTTGGAGGGACTGATCCCATTCCCAACAGAATACCCTCGGGAAGGTTGCTGTGGACTAGCCATTAGAACTTAAAGCTCTCTACTTGCAAGCAGCCAGGAAGTCGGAAGAAACCAACGCAAATGTCCACTCTTTCAAACTCTGGACAGGAGGACTAAAGAGATCAATAAGAAAAAGTGAGGCTCAACAGTAACAGTTCAATGGAAGCTCCAGCACAAGCATTTCCAGGCTGATTAAGGTGTCCGAGGGCTATAAATCCTCATCAGCAGCAGGAGAAGCTAGAATTGAGGTCCTAGATACACAAATGGATTCGAATCAACCCCCAGTTCAAGAAATCCCTCAACCAACAAAGATTCCTCCACAAAACCTCAAACTTTCAACTTCAATCACAGAACTGATATCACCTACGGCCTTCACGCCCCTGCACAATTGTACCCCGTCCGTATCCTTCCTCGGTTACAGAAGAATCTGAGAGACGAAAATTCACCTAGAATGAGATTCGTGTCGCACGATCTAGGGCTCTAAAACTGTACATTAACAGCAAGGGTACGGAATATATAATTCGGTAATCGACGTACCTGAGAGGGAAGGACGGACCAAGGGGACGCCCGATGCGAGATGGAAAACCCCAAGTAAAAGAATAAGCGTTTTGATCCTCTTTTCTGTTTATATATACTAGGTAAATTACTACCTCGCTTTGCGGAAAAAATCCAAAACTACCACTATTTAAAAAAAATTACAAAAATACCACTCATTCCCAACAATTTCCAAAAATAACATCGTTTATTAAAAATCGCGCCTCTAATGTGCGGTTAAAATACAAACCGCGCCACGTTTTTAAATTCCGACTAAAATCGCTCCACAAAGGCGCGGTTTATATACTAACCCTACCACAAAATGCTTCAAGAGGAAGCGTTTAAATGTTGGCATGATAAACTGCCCCACCAGGCGGCTGTTTATCATGTCCAGAGCTAAAACCGGTCCCCCCCCCCCCCCCCCCCCCCCCGCCGGTTTGTGCTGCAAAATTCGCCTATAAAAGGCTGTTTCAGAGAACTCAAATTCTTCACACTCCTCCTCTTCATTCTTCAAATTTCGATTTTGCACCTTTAAATTGTTTAGTTTTGCGATTAACGTTAATTCGTAAGTTTGTTTTGTATTACTTTTCATTGTCCTTTTGTGATTTTATGTTAGTAACTTAATTACTTTTCATTGTCCTTTGTGATTTTATGTTAGTAACTTAATTACTTTTCATTGTCATGCCCCTCTTGTATTACTTTTCATTGTCCTTTGTGATTTTATGTTAGTAACTTAATTACAGTTGTATTACAGATGGCATTCCAAAGGTTCACGCTTGGGTTGCGGTGGAATGGTTACACGGAAGAGACTGAAAAGGGTGTAAGTTACGTCGGTGGCAATTTCTATAAAATGAAGGTCCGTACGAGACCGATGCTTAAAGAGCTCCATCAAATGTGCACTCAGATTACCTGCATGGATGGCACTAGAAGAGTTGATCAAATGGTGTATCGATATCCAAACAGACATGACGGGTCGCTGTGGAATAAGGAATTCCTCCTTACCAATCAGGAGGACGTTGATGCCATGGTCCAATTTTTGACCACCAATAAAATTAAGCAAGCGGAGATGTTCATTTACACCGAGGTCGTCGAAGGCAATGTAGGTCATTCTGGAGATGGCCAAACATCTGATATCCACGGTGGGAGTGTATTATACGAAGATCATCCCCACTAGGATTTCCAAGACTCGAGCTGGAGGAAGGAGTATCATCATGAAACTGGAGGTCATCATCAATCCTTCCCTTCATATGAAGAAGAAGCTCAACAGGCGGATCACAACCAACAAGCAGGCTACCAGTACCCACCCGAGTACAACTTCTATCAAAGCGGTGTTAGTTACCACAACTATCATTACGGAGCTTGTGAAGGTGAAGGTGCCTTTCATGATGATAATCAGATGGAAGAAGAGCTCAATCCAAGTCCAGTTAGTGACCCTGAGGTTGAAGAAGAGGAATGCGAATTTAGTGCAGACAGCTTCGATCCGCTGGAAGGTGCTGATGATTCCGGTCTAGATTCAGACGCAGACGGTGATGAGGTACCTCGCGACCGTGTACCTATTCCATACTACAATCACATTCAAAATGAAGATTGGTATGTTGATGCCGACATGGACCCACCAAAGGTGCCAGTATGGGGTCCACTCACTGACTTTACGAAGGGCCAACAATTTGCAACGAAGAATGAGGTCTGGCACGCTATTGCCACTGAAGAAATGACTCGGAGTTTTAAATGGCAAACAACCCATTCCGACACAAAGAGGCTGATGGTTCGATGCAAAAATGAAAATGAGGGATGCAAAGCTAGGGTCTGGGCCATCAAGAGCAAGAGAGTCGTCCATTGGGTCATATCCCGTGCGGTGAACACACACACAAGTGTGTCATCAATAACATCCCAAGGCCATCGACAGTTGAAATCAAGGGTGGTTGCCGCGGCTATCAAACATCTAATTGAGGAGCAGCCCGACCTGAAGGTGAAAACCATCATCGCCCACATTTCTAGTCGTTATGGTTACATCATTAACTACAAGAAAGCGTGGCATGGGAAACAGAAAGCAATGGCTGCCGTGTTTGGTGACTGGGAAGAATCATATGCATTCCTTCCCAAATTGATATTGGCGTTGGAGGTGTCTAACCCTGGCACCATTTTCTCGCCTCGCTACCAAGATGAAGAAATTCAACCGCTGGTGCCTGGTAACAAGCTCCAATTCAAGCGTCTTTTCTGGGCATTCAAGCCATGTATTGATGGTTTTCCATACTGTGTTCCTGTGATTCAAGTTGATGGAACATTCCTTACCGGCAAGTACAAGGGTACTCTACTGATCGCCAATGGAGCAGATGCAAATAGAGAAGTATATCCATTAGCCTTTGCCATTGTGGAGGTAGAGAATACCAATAGCTATGGATGGTTCTTCAGACAAATTCTGCTCCATGTCACCAGGCGGACGAACCTGACTATCATCTCAGATCGCCACGCCGGTATACGGGCTGCTATCTTAGGCTTGGATCCAGCCTAGAACTGGTCACAGAGATGGTGCATACGGCATTTCAAAAGAAACTGGAACCATCATTTCAAGTGAAAGAAGCTTGCTGATAGTCTATGGTGGATCGGTAAGCGTTCTAATTATTGTTATATAAATTTTGTCAACTATATAAAACGAGGACTAAATCAATACAATACAATACTTATTTAGACTCTTTATAAAGAAATGCATGTCTAAGGAAATGGGGACTTAAGCGATCATCATGATCCCCCCATGACCTGGGAAAATCGGGTTCTAAGCGATCCTCGGATCCCCCCTTTTTCTGTCAATAAGACTGTGTTTCAAAGGAGATGTATACCTCTCCTAAGAGTCTTACGAGTATATTTGTATTGAGGGTGAGGTCAGTCTTTCTTACCTTACGTTTTTTTTTATATTCATCAGTTGTCGCATTCCAAGAGAAGAAATTTAAAGAGAAGATGCAGAATATCCGTCAGCTATGCCCTGAAGGTGCGCAGTGGCTTGATCAACATGACCTTGAAATGTGGACATTTCATAAGGACGGAGGTACCAGATGGGGTATTGCCACAACAAACTCAAGCTTAGAGTATCAACAACGTCTACAGGGAATGTCGTGCACTCCCCATCTCTGCAATTGTTGAGATGACATTCTGGAAAACAAACGGATGGTTCGTCAACCGTCTCCACTGGTGTGAGAAGAGGGAGGCACATGGTAAGGTACACTCCGATCATGCCACAAAAATAATGGAAAAAGATAATCGGAAGTGCTCTCGTCACCAAGTCACTGTGATGAACCGAAATGCTGGCGAGTATTCGGTCGAGACTGGGAACGGGGAGGATGGGAGACGTGGGAGTCATCTCCATGAAGTCACCGTCAACTTTAGGACTAAAAAGGGGGAGTGCTCTTGTCAGAAGTATCAGGGTAGAGGGATACCATGTTCTCATGCAATGGCTGTAATAAAGCACAGGAGCAAAGACCCTCATCATTTCGTTAGTCCGTTCTTCAACATTTACTCACAAAAGAGCAGTTATCGTACTAGTTTCGTGCATTGCCGGATGAAGCTTACTGGCCAGTTTATGAGGGTATGGTCATCATTCCACCAATCGGTCTTAGGCGGGAAACAATGCGCTCGCGGGTAAAAAGGATTCCAAATGAGATGGATCAAAGTGGAAGACCACCGCGAGGGCCAAGGCGGTGTTCCATATGCAAAGTACCCGGGCATGATAAACGAAAATGTCCCGGACCAATTGGTCCTCAAAATCCAGGGCCCGATGTGGTGAACCCGGATAATGGCGCATAGAGTGATTTCATGCATTTGTTCCATCTTTGTGTATTAATTTCAATGGTTACTCTACTTGTATTTTGTGTGCTTAAATGACATTGGAGATTTGCACAATTAACAAACTTTGATGCAATTTTCCATCTTTTTTAATACAACACATCACGAACACAAACACACTACATGAAAAACTAAAAAATAACTTCAACTAAAAACAAATTGTTCAACTTAATTTAAACAAAACATAACTTTAAATAAACAAAACTTGTCACACTCATGCATTATTTCGACAATTTGCCCTCTGTTTCCTTGTGCGATGGGCGACTGGTTCACCAGGTGTAGCTGATGGTGGAACGGGTGGCAGATTCCTATTCGCCATAGAAGGGCGATCCTCCGTGCTATGTCGCCTTGGTTCCGTGGTAGGTGGCCCCTCCGTCTGCGGTCGAGGGCTATCCACGCTCATACGGTGGGGAGTGGACTGCCATTGTTGTTGCCATTATTGTTGTGGTCGATGCGAAGGTGAGTAGTCTTGGTGGGGAGTGGACTGCCATTGTTGTTGCCATTATTGTTGTGGTCGATGCAAAGGTGAGAAGTCTTGGTGGGGACTTGATTATGAACCATTGGCCCAAGTAGCTGAGGATGTGGCATCATGAAATGTACTTGGCTGTTGTTCATACTGGAAACTGGGCCGGAGATTGTATTGGAAACTCGACCGCGGATCATACTGGCTTCCGGGCGTGGGATCATAGTGGAAACTGGGTCGAGGATCATGTTAAGTACTAGGGTCGTAGTGAAAACTCGACCGGGGATCATACTGAGTACTCCCCCCTTCACCGCTGCACACCTCCAAAGGAGTAGGCACCTTCCACGCCACAATCGGCTTGATCTCCGGCACGTGAGGTCGATCCCTTATAGCTTTGTTTGGCCTTCTATGGACCGGCGGAGGCACAGGGTCAACATCCTCCGTCACCGGCGGCGGTCTCACTGGGGGAACTGGCGGGTATCTATGATGGTCACGTCCGCGCGCTCGCATCAGCCAAGGAGACTGTTCGCTATCCTTCGAATGAGCCCCACCTCTCGACCCGTAGCCGAATGATTTGCCGTCCACGCGAGGTCGTGTATTCGCTCGATGCCATCAACCTAAATCGAAGAAAATAACAATGTGAGCCATTTAAAAAGTAATGCACCGCATGACTAAATAAATAAAAACTGAATTACTTACCAAAGCTCTGTCCGCCGCACCTTCGGGGGTCATGTAACGAACAGATTGTCTTCAGTATGTTTCCAGGTATGGGTCATGGTAGCCCATCTGCCCCACATGAGATCCCGTCACAATATCCTGATCTTGCCTAACATTCCACAGGCGGATCAAATTTACATACTCCTCCGGCCAATTAGTAGCTCCTTGTCGACCATCTTTCCCGTGGTACCCCCTCTGACTCTCCGGGACATCCAATGGTAGGCATTGCTCACGTCCAAATTGTCGTAGACATCGATCCGGCAAGTGCCACTCCACTATATGGTGGCAGATTAGTGGAACTCGGGTGCACCATTGACCGGGATGTAACGGGAACTTGCGGACGTGATGCGCAACAATGCGTTCTGGATACGGATCGAACTTAAGCTACGAAGGTGCATAAAAAATAGACCATTAATCAACATAATAATATAAGTTGAAAAAAAGGTAGGAATTAATAGCGTATTATGATGCTCACCTCTGCTTCCCAAAGGCGATCAAGCCTCCTACGATACTCCTCCAACTTATGCGCTCCTAGGTTGTTGCATGTTTTTTCACCAAGCCACCTATTCCATCCAAAAAGTATGGAGTGTTAATACATAATAGCCGGTTCATTATAAAATACCCAATTAGTAAAAAAAACTTGAGAACTATGAGTGGGATAGAAAACATTTACCTACAACCATAAGCTTCATGTCGTAGGGGATGGTCGGGACCCCATTCCTTGTCAGGGTCTACCTTCGGCGCAATCCATGGCAAATGCTCCCAAGCCCAAAATTGGACGATGAACATGGCCCCATCAATCTCCTTCACCGCTCTCGCACTAGCATTACAGAGGGATCAGTAGAGATGAGCTAGGTAAGCAGATGCCCAGCTCAGGTTTCCCATATCATCCCAACTCCCAAGTATGATCTTCAACCATGAATTGCTGATTAGGTTGTTGGATTTCTTGGGGAAGAAAACTCCTCCGATCATGCCGAGGATGTAGGTACGTGCATAAATGTCTTTATCACGCTCAGAACTTTCCTCCATGAGGGAAATGCCTCCGAACTCAGGGTTGTGCTTACGTCTGATCTCCGCTGTCAACCACGTGATGGATACTAGGCCCTTGGACAATGGTGGATGACCATCCGCATCGTGATCTCCCTTTTCTGGCGGACACAACCCACTGACCGTCCATATAAAATGCTGCCAACCACTCCTATTGGCAACAACTTTAGGTGGTGGCGTAGAGTCCACACAAACAACATCACCATCGATGGGCAAATCGGTTAGGATGGCGATGTCCTTAAGTGTGATGGTGCACTCGCCTTCACGAAAATTGAAGCAGTGTGTCTCCTTTCGCCATCTCTCTACCAATGCTGTGATGAGTTGGCGGTCGATCTTGATTCCATTAAAATGCCTAATCGAATCCAATCTTGCCCTTTTTAGAAAGGGCAAGATGACGTCGTTCCATTCAAGCACATTCATCGTGCCCCTATAGCGCACTATATGGTATGCATCCTAGAGAATAATTTTATAGAAATATACATTATCTAATAAACATTAATTTTAACATAACTAAATAATATTATAAGATGCAATATTAATTAAATCAAGGTTGTTTTAGAGAAATATACATTATCTAATAAACATTAATTTTAACATAACTAAAATAATTTTCTAAGATGCAATATTAATTAAATCAAGGTTGTTTTAGAGAAATATACATTATCTAATAAAAATTAATTTTAACATAACTAAAATAATTTTCGAAATTTAAGTATAATTATTTTTTATACACTTACACATAAAATTAAATATATTATTTTGTTAATCGTATTGATTGTTTTCAATAATTTAAAGCAATACAAGTACACTCGTAAGACTCTTAGGAGAGGTATACATCTCCTTAGAAAAACAGTCTTATTGACGGAAAAAGGGGGGATTCGAGGATCGCTTAGAACCCGATTTTTCCAGGTCATGGGGGGATCATGATGATCGCTTAAGTCCTCATTTCCTTAGACATGCATTTCTTTATAAAGAGTCTAAATAAGTGTTGTATTGTATTGATTTAAATTATTGAAAATAATCAAAACGATTAACAATTAAGTAAATTATTGTACAAACAAATAAATTACTTTAACAAAATACAAATTACAAGTGATGATAAATAATATGTACCTTGTGGTCGTTCCAAACATCTCTTGAACGATGATTAGCTTGATCGTATAAAACAGTCAGATCAATCGGTCCTTGATCAACATAATATCGTTTATTGTAAATATCAACATCCGGCCCAACATGCGATAGCATAACAACATAAATCAATTAGTATATAAATTAAATAAATCATTATAACAACAACAACAACAATTGGGTAAAATGAGTACGTACCGTTTGATAATCATCATAGAAAATGCCCTCTTCTTGGATGAAATCGGCCATTTTTTCCGAATCCGGACAGAGATTCGACGGGTTTTTAGTGAAAACCAAAGAAATTTTTTTTTGAAGGCAGATCGGACTTAGCCGAAACCAACAAAATAACTAATTCTAAGCTTTTTGGGTGGGGAGGGGGGGTGGGTAGAGTGAGGAGTTAGAGGGAGAGAGGGGGGAATAGGTTTGGTGTGCAGAAAATGGGAGGGGGAAGGGGGGTTTATATAGGGACGAAACCGCGCGAGGGAGGGGCGATTTTGTCCTTTTACCCCTCCTAAAACCGCGCCTCCAGTGCGCGGTTAGCGTTCCCCAACAGTCAAACCGCGCTTCGAGGGAGCGGTTTGACTGAGCGACGTGGATCGCTGAGCTGGCGCGCGGTTTGGCCTTCAGATCGCTTCCCCATCCAGCGGTTGCATGTACCGCCACGTGACAACGCGGGTGACAGCTAGAAATATTCAAACCGCGCCTTGGAGGCGCGTTTTGAGCTTTAACCGCGCCTTCATGCTGCGTTTTGTGTGGAAGAGTTATTTTGGAAATTGTTGGGAATGTGTGGTATTTTTGTAATTTTTTTTATAGTGGTAGTTTTGGATTTTTTCCTCGCTTGTTGCGGCTTGTAATAGGATTATATGTATTATTTGTTAACCCGTAATTGATTTGTAATCATGTTTAGTAGTGATCCAATAGACAAACTCCTAACATAATTTAAACTAAATGGCTAAATGTCGCCCTAGTTTTACTATTCTCGCCCTAACTTACAACGTGCAATTGCAATATTCTCCTCCATTGACCAAGCCCTAAAATCCTTGGCCTTTCTCCATCTTCGTTGACAACTGACAAGATACCATCGGCCGACGCAACCCCCACACGTAAAACGACCTCCGCCGCCGACCACTTGCAATCCAAATGACCCTCCACCGCCGATCAGGAGCACTCCAAATAGAGGTGACAAATTGATTGATCCATGGATTGGTGGATCCATGGATCAAATGGATTGGATCCAATGGACTGGATCAAGTTGAATTGGTGGATTATCCATGAATCCAAATGACATCCTCAACCAAGAACCAATATGTAAAATGTGAAAAGTTTAGGTACTAAAATGTCATAATAAAAATTTTAAGGTACCAAAGCGTAATTTTCCAATGATATTTTTAGTATAAAAAATTAAATATTGGGTACCAAAATGTAAAATATAAAAAGTATAGGTACCAAACCATAATTTTCCATTTGGATCAAATGGATTGGATATAAATGAATTGGATTAGGTGAATATTTTTAATGGATTGGGGGATTGGATTGAGAATTGTCACCTCTAACTCCAAACGATGCGCCTTTGTCCTACCGCCCTCATGGTCCTCTAGCAGCGTTGTAATGGGGGCTGAGATCATGTGACTAAGGGGGGTCCCCTTAGTCACATGGCTAAGTGAATCTCAACCACTCAACCTCATTAAAATCTAAGGGCTCCTATTAATCAAATTTAATGAAGGGCAATGTAGTAATTGCATGTTTATTTTTTACTTTTAATTATAAAATGAATAAAAAAATTAAGTCAAGCCCGTCCCCGTCCCTTGCGCCGCCTCCCGTCTCCGTCCAATTTCCGGCCAAGGGGATTCCTGGGCAGGAGAATTCTTCTCCCCTCATGCGGCCATTATTCCAGGGGAATTCCCCCAGAGAAATAGAGAGAGAGAGAGAGAGATTTTCTGGTCGGAAAATTTTTTTCCAGCGACCATCGTCGACGGAGAAGAATTTTCCGGTGACAGTGCTTTGTGATGTTTGTTGACATATTTTGTAATGTTTGTACGTTTTGTTATTTTGTAATGTTTGTAAACTTTGTTATTTTTGCGCACCATGTTTATCATTTTTGTCAACCATGTTTGTAATATTTTTTTATGTCTAAAAAACAACCTGGTTGACTTTTGGATGAAACTTCTCTATATAGGGATGGAGCCTCCAGAGTCAACCCGGGTGTTTTTTCCAGTTCGTATGGATTGTCAGTCTAGTTTGTCATTTTTGTCCACCATGTTCGTACTGTTGTATGTCTAAAAAACACCCGGGTTGACTTTGGGAAGGAGCCCCTCTATATAGGGATGGAGCCTCCAAAGTCAACCTGGTTGTTTTTTCTTTTTGTATGGTTTGTATTGTTTGTCGGTCTAGTTTGTAT